TTTTATGACTGAAACTTTGATCTCACATTTACATATCAGTATACCTCTTTGCCATAGAAATATTTCAGAAAATCATTTGGCAAACAATATCCCTAGTTGGTTGAGTAAACCAGTTCTCTTAATGTTCACCAGAATTTTTCTCTAGATATAGTTTGATTTAAATTCAAATAATTATGTAAGAGTATTTCCTAAATCATCTTGAAGACTCACTTTTTCTAACAAGATTTAGTGAAGTACAGAGTGGCAAGACAAACTAAGACCCAAGTTGATTATCCTTTAGAAACAGGGATGATTAAATATAAGTATATAACTAGTCCTCTTGAACTGAAATGCATGCCTTATTAAAGCGTCATTAGAAGAAGAACAGTGTTATGAGAAGACGACAGATTACTCTGCTGCATCAAGTCTGATAACAAGATCAAGGCACAAGATCTAAATGAGCTATCATTCCAACTTAACCCATAATTGCAAAAGCCAATCACAAGTGCTGCCCACTTCGTATCTTGATCTTTTTTTCTTTGTTGTTACACATGGAGTGTCATCATTCTGTCTACCTTAAATTTGCCTAATCTTTTCTATTAAAAGGCAGGATACAGGCATTTATTGTTTTGTCAACACTTGATTTTTTGCATTAGTATTTTTCACACCGGCTACCTTCTTCATGTGGAATTATGTAAACATTACCTAACATTATCTAAAATGTTTCTAGAAGAAAATTTAAGGAAAATCTTACCTTAGAGAAAATAATAGAATGTTTTTTATTTAAAATACCCAGTGCTTCCCTTTTATTAAATAAGAACTGGAAATTTGAGAAATCTGAAGAATATTCCTCATCCTGCTACCATTACGGTGTACCCACACAATGTACCTCTCTCTCTGCAGAGTATGTTACATATTTGTTGTAGTTTCCCCTCAGCAAACAGATGCCACTGTGATGTTGTGTTCCAGACTCGCAAGGCAAGATAAATGCACCACATTAGTCTTTTGCAGGAAAGAGGGAAGTGATAAAAAACAGAAGAAAGAAAACACCCTGAATCAAATGGAAAGGGAGGGAAGGGATAAAAGGAACAGCACGTAGTAGGAAGTGATACAGGTCTATGGAATCTAAAGGAATAACGGGAACCAGGCAAGAAGCAAGATCATATTGGAAAGGAACAGCAGAGGTGAGGAAGCGACCAGCAGTCACAGTGGGTAGAAACACTGGAGCGTAACATTAAACAATGGCAAGGAAGCGCTGGGTAGAGCAACACAGTGGGTAGGGTCATGTTAGCTAGTAAACTTTAGGTGAGGGTGAGGTGATACAGTTAAACTGATGCAACAGCTGAATGCTGCTGAAAGGAGGGGTACCAGTCCCTGCACCCTCCACAGCTACTTGTTCCTGCTGCTTCCCTGGGACTGGCTGGCCTGGGCCCACCAGTGCTGCAGGAGCACTGGCTCTCTCCAGGGTCAAAGAAAAACAAAAGCTACTAGGAGAAAGGAGGCAGGACAGCAGCCAGGCATCCCCTTGTATGGGAAAAGAGCAGCAGAAGCCCCTTTTCTGAGAGTAGTTCAGTTTAAGTGTGATCTAGTAATTTGAAATTGCACCTTAAGACATTTTTTTCCACAGAAACTGAAATTGGGCCCATGCAGAAGAGAGCAGTCTGTCAGCTGCTTTAGTACAAGTACATGTGATCTCCACACGTGGATCTAAAGCATCAACTATACCAGTAAACCATTAGGAATCAGGATGATCCTCCAGAGTGAACAGTTCCCATCTTCCCTTTTTAATTAAGGAAATCAAATGTAAAAACTACTCTGAGAAAACACTCAATTTGCAAGTTCAGACATTCAAGTTACATAAGGCCTAAATTTTTTTCATAGAACATTATTTATTTCCCTTATGTATATGAATTGTGATGCTATCTGTAATGTTCAAATCAAATTTACAAGGAATTTACTTGGAAAACTGAATCAAATTCTGATTATCTAAAGTGGAAATTTTTCCCTCTTAGATCAGTTAAATTCAACATTTCATCAACTAATATGAAGGTGATGGCATAAATGTCAAGGAACACAAGAATAGATTATTTTTCATAAGTTGTTACCCATGCAATAACACTACTACACTCTTCTACTTTTAATTCTATGAGAAGTTTCCACCAGAATCAAGATGAGCTTTTTAAGTTCCAGGAAGTGTGATTTGGGTGACACAGAGGTACATGGTAAGAGTTCTATTGCATACATAGTAGAGTTCTAAGCAAATTTATAACATTTAGGCTCCTCTGCAAACAAATTAAAACCATGATCTGTAAATATTTCTTTGTAAATATTTTCATCATTATGGTGTTCATCCCCTTGGATACTACTTTTCCCCTTGGATACTATTTTTACATACCCGATCAGCTTCTGATGATGATGATGGAACTTCTTTTATCATCTAGTGCAGCCTGAGGATTCTGGGGAAATTGTTTGTAGTTTTGTTTCAAGTACAACATCTTCCCATATGAGACCTGTAGCAACTATAGTAATACCATCAGGGAAAGTATATTTTATTACCCTCAATGAGGCTGAAAAAATGACATTAGGGTATTGTCAGTTGTAACTTGTGGCTTATCTAATTAGGTACACAAGTATTGAGAGAATTCCCAACATGAAATACGTCTGAGACAATTATTAGATACACAACATGAAGCACTTGAGAGCTTGAATCTCCAGATACTACCTTCAAAAGTTCCATGTGCAGCACACTCGGATTCTCTCTAAATGGTTAACCTGGGTGTTTCATGATTTAGCTTGTGTAGGGAAGCACATAATTATTTCAGATGAAAAATAGTTTTTTCCTTATGATTAAATAATCCATAGTATTACTATTAGAAAATAATTCTCCAAGAAGTCAAGAATCTTGGTTGCAAAATATTTTTAATATTAAAATTAAGGACTAGCCTTAATGAAAAAGGGTAGAATAATAAAGCAGTGTAGCCCTTTGAATTTCCAAAAATACTTGTGTTAGGAAGATTCCACCAACCTGCCATAATATTCTCCTTTGTATATCTTGTGTCTCCACATTTTTTTGGTACCAAAGGTCAGTTCTTTATGACATTTCATATTTTCCTTCCTGAAAGAACTCCTCACAGCAGAAATGACCAGTTCCTCCTGACTTCTTCTTTACTTCAAAATAGCTTTAGAATTTGTCTCTTGACTGTGGATTCCAAAATATGGTGCAAAATGCAGGCCCCAAAGCCACAGCAAGGCCATGTCTAAACATACAACTGCTCCTGCCTTCCAGGAGAATTCAGACATTGTTTGTCCAGTCGGGAACGGACTGACAAGGTTATGCCATCCCCTTATTGAGAAGAAGCTGCACACAGATTTCCCAGATCTGGTTGTGGTGTGCGCAATATCAAAATAACTAGTGCAGCACTGTTAAGTGCAAATCAATACAGAAAAGTATTGGATGCTAAGATTGTGGCATTCATAAAACACACATTCCAGTAGCTTTTAAATTGCAAGAGCACTAATCTTAACAAAGCATGGGAAATAGGAAGAATCGGGAGACTGATTTCAAAAGCTCACTTCTGATATAAATTAAAATACTACCAAAGACACTTCCATACTGTTTAACAAAACAAGGCTATCATCTGGCACATGAAAGGAGACTGTGTTTTGGTTGCAGAGGTAACTGGAAAGAATGCCTGGCATGAATTTTAACAATCATTGTTTTCTTTTTAATGATTTATAGCAAATAAACTAGAGATTTTATAAATTATATAAACTCTGAAGTATTCATAATTTATTCGGTTTATCTGAAAGCACAAATGGTGCAGGTATTTAGAATGGGAACATACTTACAGGAGCTGGTTTGTGCACTACTGAAAACTGGGGAATTACTGTTTCGAGACTGTTTCTTTGGAAAAATGTGATTTGCTTTGCATAATACCACAAGATTTTTAAAAAAATGTACCCACATCATGGAAAAAATATACTCATGCTGCAGAGAAAAGTTTGAAATTTATGCAAGGACAATGCTCGTCTAAGAAACTTGAGCAGCTTTTACATTGGGGACAATCCTCATCAGAACTTTGTAATCTTGTTAACATCTTTCTTTGTTGTTCTTACACAAAAATCAGAATACCACTTAAAGCAAAATAAACATTCTGATGTTCAGAATTCTACAGAAGGAAGTATTTTATCCTTCACACAGTGGTCAGAGCAATCTAATCTAGTACATGGATATACATGACTAATAAATGTTCTCCCTTGGGTTTACAGCCAAAAAAAATTTGCTTTATTCAAACTATAATGTGGACAGGCCCAACATCTGGGCAAAACATACCTGCAGAGTTCACTTCATTATTTAAAACAAACCAAACCAACCATCAGTTAGCTTCAGGAAAGCAGACCATACCACAGAAACCGGAGTCGAACTGCGGTGTGGGTACAGCCGACGGCCCGACAGGAGAGTGCAAGAGCGGGACAGAGGAAACACAAACAAGGGTGCTGGCTGGAGCTTCTGCCCTCTTTTCAGTAACTGAGATTTCTTCTTGCACCAAGAATAAGACACCCGATGTTTTAATACGGGGCTAAAGAAGCCAGCCGGTTTTACCGCCATACAGCCATCCACCCCCGAAGTTGGGAACCAAGGGGATAGCCTCTACACCCTCCACCCTCCCCCGAATGCAGATAGTA